TGAATTTTCAAGTAACTTCGAATCGGTAGGAAAAATATAAAAATAATAAACAAATATTTCAACGTAATTTTTGAATAACTTCGAATTCCTATATCTAGGCAAGAGAAAAATAAAAATAATTGATAAATATTTCGACATAAACTACGCAACACAATGATGGCACAATACATGAATTGTCGAGTAACTTGAAATTCTTATATTTCGGCAGGAGAAAAATAAAAATAATAAATATTTCGACATAAACTACGCGAGGTAATGATGGCACACCCTACGAACTTTTCTAGCCACCCCAAATCGCCATAACCGAACAGAAAAGTATAAAAGATAGAAAATTAATTCTACTGACAAAGATATTGGAAGAAAATTATCTTTGAGATATTTTCCAATCTCTTTTCACGATTAAACTTAGACTGGGAAAATACTCGAGGAACCTTTCGATTCTCGAACCGATGTAACCTCGTCGATCAATTTTTTAATGTAAATCGAAGTAGAAAGAATATAATCGTAATTATTATTCCGAAGAAGCAGTGAAAATCACAGGGTTGACTATCATTTCAGCTCGCAACTCTCGCAATGATGGCTATGACACGCCTATATATAGAGACACACGTCGAGAATAATACAAAGGAACTGAAACTCGAAGGCATTTTTCAAGCGCGCTATTACGCGAGTAAGTCGACGAACAAGTACGTAAGCTGTTATTGAATAGTCGCTGACACGATCTATAAATACATGCGGATAGAGATCGGAGATTGCGAAAATCGTAAATAGATTAGGAAATTATTTATGGACATCGACGGATACGGGAGGATATGTAGCTGATGCGTAAGTCGCGAGTATGATGGAGCAGCGAACACCGGATATAAATGGCAACCTTATGCAACTTGTTTTTTCGCTCATTAGACTAATTAGAAACTCGAATAATGCTGCGGACACTTTCTTATCGCCCGAGCAAGTCTCGCTTCTGATACAGACGCTGTTATCGTTCGGCTCGTTCCACATCCAAAGTTTACTCGCCGGAGTAACAATTTTGTGTGCTTTTGTATTACGAGGCGCCGTGTGATATAACTCGAAAGAACAACCAGCCACGATAACTAACGACAGATGTTTCTTAATCCTCGTTCAGGGATCCCGAAAATTTGTCTCCTTTTTCCTCGATATTTGCAACGATAATTGCTAAAAGTACCTGCGATTCTTCCACGTGCTTCAGTATTAATCTCTCTTGATGAAAATGGGAAATAAACATTGAAAACTCCTACTGAGGTAGACCAGTATACTCTACGCGGAAAAATAGCTCTTGCTGTTTAAAGTACGATGTAATACTAATTTTACATTCGAATTCAGCAAATAATATTAACGAATCTACGAGTAATTAACACTTCGCAATTGTTCAGAGGTTTTTTGGTACAGAGATTGTGTATAAATGAACACGTGGAATTATTTTATTTCGATATTTCATACGTGTTATCGATCTTTAAAATTTTGTTAGATAGCGACAGAGGCCTCTCGAGTGCACAGGGTTAAAAACGTAAATTTTTCGGAAAGATATCTAGAAATATCCGTGGAGTATACTCGAAGATAATTAAGCAAATTAAATAAAACGCTTGAAGAGTTCTAATTTCCATCTCCACGAAAGTGAACGGTAATTGTGCCAAAGGTACTCGAGCATTTGCAATAATTTCAAGAGCAAAAGATCAGGTAGCCGTCATCTTTGAGGCGGTACAAAATGGAGGCGCGAGGAAGGACGAAAATTTCAGGAAATTTTAGAAAATTTACGAGTACGTGTCGAAGGGGGGAAGAACCTCGGGCCTGAACGAAAAAGTTGGAACGCTGCTCGCGTGGTTACCGTTAATTGCGCGCCTAATTGTAAGGAGAGAGGAGGATCGAGAGAGTGAGAGAGAAGGAGCGACGCGGTTATTACGAATTCTGTGACATGCCGTTGCCAGCAACGATCGCGACCTGGTTTGCACACCAAGTCTAATGTTTATTTATCAAGTTTACGGTTCGTCCTCTTTCCGGCCTAGTTATCGTGTCGTGCTACGGTTGCCGAGGAGTTTCAATCTCAAGAATAATCTTCTTTTGTTCACGGAACACTCGTTACTTCGGATAACATTGCACACGTTTGTAAACGTTCTCACAGCTAAATTCGAGGATACCGACGGTACTAATGCGACGATCGTTAATACGTTCCTTGTTATGACTCGTTGACATAATCGGAGAGACTGTAATGTCGATTTGCCTATACTTTGAAGCTTTTACGTGCCTTCTGACTAGTGCTAAACTTAACACGACTTAGTCTGATGGAAAAAAGAAGGGAAAAGGATCTTAACATTCAAAAATTACTCCAAAATTTTTCCAATTTTCTTTAAGTCAAAAGTTTAAACATAGTCATTTGAGTCGTGGTAAGTTTAGTGTTGATATTAGCCCTCTGCACTCTGAGAATTTTTCTGTTCGATCAACGACTCTAATATACTTCTAACTTTAATTAAAAAAGGAAAGAAGAAGGAATTTTTAATTTATTTGTACGGCAGTTTTCTTGGTTCTTCATCGGTGCAAACGAATCCAATGTCGTCTTGCAAATCATCAATGTTTATAATGGCTCCAATCGAGTGCAAAGGGTTAATTTTAATATTGTTTCTTATGACTCGTCGATATAATGGCAATGTGGAGAATGGTCGATTTAAAAATATGCATTCGATACTTTCCAGCTTGCACGTTTATATTTTTCGTGACTCACTGATATACGCGGAAAGCTAGAATCGCAATGCCGAATGATCGATTCAAAAATAGCGAGGTTTGAATCAATTTTTTCAATATTTAATATTACATGTATGCTTTTAATAATTTTCCTTTAAAAGAGGAATTTTTTTAAGTTAAACTACGAGATATTTAGATATTTGGAATATTTAAAAGATTTGTTCTTACGCTTGATCATATTTTATATTAGCTTCTATGTACTTACCAAAGTTGAAAATCCAAATATATAAATATTAATTGCAAAATACAAGTTATAATTAGCGATCCGTTGTATATTTATAATACGAATTAAAAGCTTCGGTGTAGATTACTTTCGTAATTAACGTTGCAATAGAACTATTTTTTCTACTATTAAATATACCTTGCGCCGAGCTATTGCTAGCCTGTTACTCGCCACGGTCACGTTTCACTGGCAAACGTTTTCCCATAATTCCAACCTCGTAACCGGCTCTAATGTCAAAATGCGATAAACGGTGATATCGTTTGCCTGTATAATAACCTTAATGCGTCATAATTAATAAACGACCTCTAATAATTATCGTTAGACATAATTACATAAAGCAGACACTCGAATATTTAATCGTTTCACGAGTAGGGCCGTCAAGTTTCTGTCAATAACGAGCAACATGACAAGCGTGGTAAGAAGAAAATCCCAAGACTACGTCCGTAAATTTAGAAAATAATCCAACGATGTGTAGGATATTTACGTTACACTTACTGGAGATATGGACCGTGGTGGCGCTAGTGAGTTGAATGCAAACTCGTCTTAAGGCTGACTCAAAACGCTTACTCGATTCTAACTATTGGAAACATTCGCTAGTCAAATTTATTATCTCCGTTTTTCCAATTTTGCCAAATTTTAGCTCAACCTTTGTCTCAATATAACAGGACCCTACTTTATCTACTGAAATACTAATTTCTTTGTAATGTCGGTGGCGATTAGTAAATTTTAATACAATGTTTCTGTCCTCGAGGTACTAAAATAAATGTCTACTTTTTGTCTTCCATATGAGACTCGAGTGGTATGCAAACACGGGGGTCTATTCGATAATGCGATGCGGAAAATCGAGTTTACGCAATAAAACCGCTTTTCTTACGTATCAGAGGAAAACACGGCGAGAGGTATAGCCTGTTGAAAGATCGTACAATGGAAGCCCCGTTAATACGATTCTGCATTCGTCATGGTAGCCCGAGTACATTGCACCAAATACTCGACGCATCGTTAAATACCAGGAACTTGACACTGATCGTTCCCGAGATTGTGTGTACACTCGTTATAAATGTATGATTGCAAAAAATTATCTTAGTCGATGTCGATAATCGACACGTGTTAAAGAACGAAATAATAATTTGCAAATTTCTGTACATCGTTACAATGTTCGCAAATTAAAATTAAAACTAGGTTGTCGTTCGCGATACTCGAAAAAAAATTTGTCCATTTTGAATTTAAAAATATGCCGAATAATTAGTTTTTACCAGTAACCACATTGCAAAGTACAAAGGTACAAAAGAAGTCGATAAATCGAATTACTTTGCGAGCAGTTGGACTATCCGCAAGGTCCGATATGAGTGTGAAATTTGAAAAATTTTCTGGAAATAGGAAGAAAATTCACGAGGTCCTTAAAGCGTTGTCAAACGAGTTAGGAGTCGTAAGAAATCACCGTTAATGGCGATGCTTTCGTATTAATTGCGTATGTACGGTTCCTATTCAATTATTTGTTGCTGTAGCGAGTGTACGTTCGCCTCGTAAGTACGGTCTTTTTATTAATGGCCACTGCCATATGTACGGAACACCTGCGATGACTAACAGTACCACGCAACTAACTATAATAAGACGAGAGTATACTCAAGTACGTTATTCCGCAGGAACATCGATCTTGTTCTTTACGAGTACTCCTACACGCCAACACGGCTGGCCTGACTGGAAAGTAATTGAACTAACCGCTGCACTATGCGAGCCGGTATCGATGTGCAAAAATCTAGAATTTCCGATGAAAAATTTCCAACTCGTCCTCTCGAGGAATCAATGGCCGGTAACGGTCATCGATCTTCGAACATTTCGTTCGTATCGTCTACAATGATATCTTAAATCCTACAAGTGAAGCAGAAAATATTGAAAAAGGCAAAAAAAAAAGGAAGAAAAAAGGAACGGGAAGTATAGCGAAAATAAATTGGGCTGAATTTCGATCCCTACTTTACCGACGCGAGGAGAACGAAAAATTGGCAAGGATTTTCGAATTTACCTGATTTTCCCATTGGCGGTTGACCAAGTCTGCTG